TTCATATGCTGATATATTGCCATTTAAAAACACCATATCAATCTCTTTACTAATGAAATATTGCTATATGTCATCATTATGATACGAAATCCCCCAAAAATTCACGAAATTTTGCCATATTTTTATATGTTGATATATTGACGCGCTATCGATCTATTTTACTAACAAAATCTCACAACAATTTGCAAAATATCGCGAGAGTTTGTAACAGAACGATGAAATTTCACAAGATTTTGAAAGTAAAAAAGATCGATACCGCGTTTTTAAAGATCAATTTAATATCAGCATATGAAAATATATTTGAGTATATTATTTTTCAAAGAGTCAGAAATGGATAACAAAACTGCTATTTTCAATTACTACTTATTTTTGTCCAGCTTTAACATTGGTATCGATATCGGTTATCGGCTACATGAGTTTTAAAATATCGGCATATCGGATATCGGCCAAAATCCCAATATTGTGCATCCCTAGTTTCTATTATTACCGTAAAACAGGCAGTTTATTTAGCGATGCAACCCTTTTTTTTTAAATCCTCCTATAATAAATAGTGGTACTAAAATTTACAGAGATGCACTTGTGTAAAGAAAAAAATAACAATTTTGCTTACATGGTGCTCCAGCCACGCCTCTTTCAAGACCTGGACCTCCTGCACGGACCTTGTGGGCTCCGCCTTCCCCCATGGGCCCTACAGTGAACTGGAAAGGGCTGCCGGGAACATGCTGGCCCCTGTACTTAACGTTCACAGTGTGAGGTCCGATCTCCTGGGGTATGAAGCGGACACTGTATGTGCTGCTTCCTCCGTCCACGATGTCTGCGTCCACCGTTTTCCCACTGGGGCTCGTTACCTGAGCTGTCATGGCCTGAGATCCGCTCTCAGCTGCTACGTGAAATCAACCGTTTAGATGTTATTAAGGTTTTCATAAAAGAAAGTCCAGCTTACCGGTAAATGAAATCTGACTCACGCTCAGGTCTCGCAGTGATGCCAGCAAAGCTGCTGAGGCTCTCTCTGCCCAGAAAGTCTCCAAACACATCCCTGAAGGGGCTTCCTCCTCCTCCCACCTGGGTGCTCTCCTCCACCCGCACCTCCCTCTTAGTCTCCCCTGCGCGGGTCTTACTGATCTCTGTGCGCTCAGTGCGAGTGTACGTGTGGCTGCTACGGGTGAATGTCCGTGTTAGCCTTTCCTGAGCGGAAACCATCTGGAACCAGTTTCCTGCAGAAATGGAAGTGGATGCCGTGTTGAATTCTTTTATTTCAAAGAGGTCGACCGCTGCTGTCCAACCATGTCTGACCGCCTGATTTACTCACCTGGGATCTTGAGGTTAAGGCCGCAAGTGCTGCCCACAGAGGCAATAGATGAAGCCTGTCTCTTCCTGGTAATACTCTCCTTAATCCTTCCCTCTCCAGTCACCTTCACAGAGAAAGGACTTCCTACAAAAAAAACAGATAAAAATTGTTTTTCTTTCAAATTTAAAGGATCTGTTTAACACATATTTAACTTTTTTAGGTAAAAGGCATCTATACTATTTTATTTCTTTGCTTGATTAAGATCAATCTATATTATACACTGAACCTGTTTAAATAAATAAATGGGAAAAAAAGATGAGTAATAGAATGGTTTTAAAGCTAAACAGATCATATTTGGACTTTTCATTCATAAATGCATCCAAACACGCTCTATTTAATTTATCTGCAAGGTTAGATTAAATTTTTTGTTTATTAATTTGCTTCTGTTCACAGTTAACAGAAAAATAACTAAATAACGATAATAAAAAAGCGTTTTAACTGACCAGGGATGTGCTTTTCAGCAAACTTGATGTTAACGACGTAGCTTCCGGGTTCCGTTGGACAGTAGGTCACTCTGCACGTCCCGTCCTCTACATCTTCACAGTTTATATCCACTTTGCTTGGACCCTCAATTGACAACGCCAGACCGCCGTAACCTTGTGCACAAGCAGAAGGAAGGATTAGATTTGTATTAGATTGGCCGAATAGGAGAAATAACAAAAAAAAAAACGTACCAGCGTTCCTGGTGTCCACAAAGAATTCGGCCATTTCGAAAGTGTGCGCCTCGACCAGTCCTTTCCCGAAGGCCTTCACTCTGCTGGCTTCACCGATCTCTGACTGGCCGACCATTATTTTGAAAGGGCTGTTCGCCACATGCATCCCATTCTTCCTCACGCTCACTTCATGTTCGCCAACCTCCTTCGGGGTGAAAGATATGCCTGTCGGTAAATAAGAGGAAAAAAAATTCAAATCAGGATGGAAAAAAAGAAAAAAGCTGCATTCCTTTGTAAACATCTACAAACTTCATGAAGTTCTGTTTGTTGGAATTTTTCACTGTGTATTATAGTGAGGTAGAAAGAAAATAAATTATGCTTGATTTTCTTTCAAAATAAAAATCTAAAAACCAGGCCCCCTGAGTTATTCTGCCTTGCGGAATAATTCAGGTTCAATAAAGAAAATCAGTAAAAAGCAGATTTGAATACTTCGGATTTTCGATCAGTTTCTAGAGTTTGAGCTATTCTAACACATTTAATTGATCCAAACAATCTCATCATAGCTCTCTCTGTATTTCATTCTGCTTGAAGCTGAACGTCCCCCAGCAGTCTGAAGTCATTTATAGCGTTCAAATCCAAAGAATAAATCCATAATAACTGAATGATTTATAAAGTTCTACTCCTTTATAATGTATTTTAAGTTGACTGCCATCATCTCACCAAGGTGTCTGTTGGGCAGTCTTTTGAGCAGGCAGGGTTCCTCGTTTCCAGAAGGAGCTCTGATGCTGGCAGCCAGAGAGCTCAGATCAGTCTCTGCAATCTTCAGCGACACGTCGGCTGAAGTCCCGACGTTAAGCTGGGAAGTTCTGGTTATGCTGTCATCCCCTGACATTCAAAAAAAAAAAAAAAGACATATCGAATGTTTTTTCCTTCCATAAATCTGGCAGTTTACTTTTAGTGCCAGAAATGTGTTTCCTCACCTGTGATCTTAGCAGTAAAGGGGCTGCCAGGAATGTGCTTATTGTCAAACTTCACGATGATGTTGTAGTCTCCTGGAGCAGTGGGAAGGTAGGACACGGTGCAGGTGCCATCTTTGTTGTCCTTACACGTGATCTCGGCTTTGGAGGGACCCTCAACTGCAAGTGAGAGACCACCTGTTTGAAAGAAAGAACAAGTTATATTTCTTATTGACAGCTCTCATGTTTATAATAAAAAAAAATAAATTGAAAATGCATAATGTCACCTTCTCCTGCATTCTTCGTGACCACAGTGAAAGTAGCAGCTCTGTTGACCATTCCATAGCTCAGACCTGGACCATAAGCAGTCACCACTCCGCTGTTCACAGCATCCACATAGAACTGCAGGGGGCTTCCTGTAGAGTAGAGGGGGTGAGGAAAAAATACGTCGGATCAGACAGTGGAGCCATTTATTGGATCTGAAATATAAATTCAGAGCAAAATATCCATAAAAGCTGACCTGGAATATGATTTCCTTCATATTTGATATCCATCTCATGCAGGCCCCTCTCTGTGGGCTGGTACTTGATCGTGATGGTGCCATCCTTGTTGTCAGTAATGTGTGGGCGGGCGGTCTTCCCAGAGGGCATCCGCACCTCACCTGAAGTCATATAGTGTTTAAATATCATTTATCTGAATGAAAAAAAAGGTATTTTTGCAGGGTTTTAAATGTGTGAGTCTCACCTGTGATCTCTCCTTGCTGTGGCATGAACGGCACCAGGAAGTTAACCGGACGAAAAAGGGGATCCACAGGGTCGCGAGGGACCACTGGTTCATTGGACGCCTGGCGACACAGAATGAAATAAATTGCTCTAAAGCTGGAGGTGGTGGAGCATCAGAGGTGGAAAGTAA